GATGGAGAGTGGATTTGGGGAATTGAATTAAAATTAAAACTAAAATTCAAACTAAACCCCAAAATCCCCACTCCCCCCCCCAAATCCACACTCCATCCCCCCAAATCCACTCTCCACCCTCCCAAACCCACACTCCGAGAAGGGAAACCCTCCAAGCTGCCTCTTCCACCACAACCCCTCTCCTTCCCACCCGACCCTGGGACCCTTTTTCCCGGACAACCCCCCCATTTTCCAGCCCCAGCCCCCTCCCCAGCCCCATCCCCTCGGGATCCAGGGCCGGCACCTTGATGATCTCCTCGTCGCCCTCGTTGGACTTGACGCATTCCGAGGCCAGCGAGTGCCCGTTGCTGGACCTGTTGGCCACCATGGCGAAGGCTTTTCCCACTGGCTGCAGGGGGGGGAATTTCCCAATCAGTCAAGCACCCCAAAATCGCGGGAGTTCCTCCCTGGAGCCGGAATTTCACCCACCTTCTGCTTGGCCTGCTCGCGCCGCTCGCCCGGCAGCTCATGGGGCAGCGTCAGCCGCAGCACCTTCACGCTCTCCTGCAACACAAATCAGGGTTTAGTCCCACCTTAGGCGCGGTTCCAGGCCTAACTTCGGCCTCCCCGCAGGTCATTTTCCCAGTTTTAAATTTAAAGCTTAAGTTTAAAGCGTAAATTGAATTTTTGGGGCTCCCTGGAAGTCTTGGCCCGGGTTGGTGTCGTCGCGGACGCAGGGACGAGGAGCTCACCTGGGATTAAGGGAGTGGGTCCTGCTGGGATTAAAGGAGTGGATATTGATGGGATTAAAGGGGTGGGTCCTGCTGGGATTAAACAAGCAAATCCTGCTGGGATTGAACAAGTAAATCCTGCTGGGATCAGAGTGAATATTGCTGGGAGTAAAGGAGTGGATTCTGATAGAATTAGACAAGCAAATCCTGCTGGGATCAGAGTGAATCCTGCTGGGAGTAAAGGAGTGGATCCTGTTGGAATTAGACAAGCAAATCCTGTTGGGATCAGAGTGAATATTGCTGGGATTTAAGGAGTGGATCCTGCTGGGATTAAAGGAGTGATCCAGGACAAGGATCCAACCCCTCGGGACTGGAGGATCCACTGAGCTGATCCAAGGCCAGGATCAGGACAGGGCTCGGAGCGACCTCCTCCCATGGAAGGTGTCCCTGGCAGGGGGGGTGGGACTGGGAGGGCTTTAAGGCCCTTCCAACCCATCCCATTCCATGATCCCACGATCCCAGGAGATGCTCCACACCCAGGGGAGTTTTGGGGCCCCCAGAGACACTTCTGGCACCCAAAAACACTACGGGGGGGGGGTCACCCAAAAACCTCAACATCCTTCTCCCGGATGGATCCTCGGGAAGGATCCCGAATCCCGGAGCTGCTCCGTGTCCCGCGGGCTCTCCAGAGGCAGCTCCACGGATGGATCCCTCCCCTGGGATGGATCCCTCCCCTGGGATCCCTCCCGGGCCACGCCCTGGGCCACGTCACCCTCCTCCCGAGGCCCTGGTGGGGTGTTCCCGCCTCCCGCTTCCAAAGGCTCTCTCCAAGTCCCAACAAGCCGAGTTTGTTTCCCAAATACTCCCTGTGTGATCTCCCACAAATCCTCGGGAATCCGCTCCCGTGGATCTCACGCCCACCCGGGGCCAGACCCCTCCAATCCCTCTGTTTGATCCCAGAAAATCTTCGCTCGGGATCCGCTCCCGCTCGCCGACGTCGATTGTTTAACCGGATGCTCCCGGGGGAGATTTTTCCTCCAGGGAATGTTTCCCAGGCAAAGTTTGGAAAATTCGGTCAAGGAGCCTCAGGAGCAGCTGGATTCGGCACAGCTCTGTGGGTTTGGGGGGGTTTTGGGGGGTGGATTTTGGGATTTGGGGGGGGTTTTAGGGAAGGCAAAGGGCTCAGGGCGGCACCGCTCGGCATCTCCCTGCTGCCGGAATCCAACGGGATTCAGGGAAAGGCCTCCCCCAAACATCCTCACTCCCAGCTTTGTTTACAAGCACTGGGATCCCACGGTTCATTCCCAATCCCATCATTCCTGATCCTGGCATTCCTGTTCATTCCCAATCCCATCCAACTGCCAAGGAATCCTCTCTCCCAGGGAACATTCACTTGGATAAGGAACAAGAGCCAAGTGATTTCCATCCCTGCAGCCAAAACTTCCACACATGGACACTTCCCATCCCAAAAAAACCACCATCACCACCCAACCTGCTCCTGGATAAACCCACCACGGAGCCCAGCACTAAACCAGCACTAAACCAGCGCTAAACCAGCGCTAAACCAGCGCTAAACCAGCGCTAAACCAGCGCTAAACCAGTGCTAAACCAGTGCTAAACCAGCCCTAAACCAGCCCCGGCACTTCCAAATCCCGGCTCAACCGAGCAGGAAACCAGCCCATGCAAATCCCAGCTCCATCAGGACACGAGTTTCCCTATTTTGAGGGACACCCTCTGGATCACCAGGGAAGAAATCCGGCTTTTTTTTTTTCCCAGGGAATGTTTTTTTAGGGAAGCTGAGGCAGGTGCAGGAGGCCAGGATGGAGCCAACCCCTTCCCGCCTCGGCTCCGGTGAGGAAGGATGGAGGAGAGGAGGAGAAACACTTCATTTGGGGATTTTTGGGGCTTTCCCAAAGTTTCAGTGGCTCCTCACCGGGGTGGTTTTAAGGGAAGTGGCTCCTCCGGGGCCAAGCCGGAGCTCCGGGGTCCCAAATCCCAAATCCCAGATCCACAGATCCTGCCCTGCTCCTGTCCCTCCTGCCTGGCCTTAAATCCAACACCCCCCTCCCGCTTCCAGCCCTGGAGCTGAGGGGAGGTGGATTTGGGGCCTCCTCCATGATTTTCCAGGGAAGCAGGAGGTTTTTCCAAGACAATGGAGAGCCCCACGCTGGGCTCCAGCTCGGAAAAAAAACCACCTTGGACAGAAAATCCTTCCTTAACCCCCCCCAGCTGTGCATCCCGGGAGTTATTCCAGCCTGGCCGTGTGTGTTTACAGCTTTTCCTTGGGAATTAACCGGGATGGGAAGAGTTTGGCCGGGTCTGGGCTGCAGGGAAGCTCCAGCAGTTGGAGGTTTTGGGGCAGGAAGCTCATTTGAGGAGACATTCCCAAAATCCCCGAGAGCCGAATCCCCGCGGAAACGAGGACAACCAGGAGGGGGATTTCAGGAATTCCGAAGCCAGTTTTAAAACATTTCGCCCTATTTTGCACCGTCCAACCCCTTCTGGAGGGAGGAGGCTCCTGGGAAGGGGGAACCACACGAATCCCAACCACATCCGAGGGCCCCGCGGCCGCCGATCCCGATGTTTTGCAACCCTCGGGAAGGTCCGTCCGTCTGTCTGTCCCGCCCGGGAACAGGCCTGACCTGAGCGGGGGGGGGGGGGGGGGTATCTGGGAGGATCAGCAGCCGGAATTTTGGGGATGGCCGGCGCTGGAGCCGCTTATCTGCCCCAACCCCATTAACCGACGAGCCCAACGCCGCGATCGCTCCTTATAAGGCTGGAAAAGCTGCCGGGAATGAGGAGACTCCTTGAGGAGACTCAGAGCTGAGTCACCCGCAGCCGGCACGGGGGAAAGAAAGGCGGCCCGACTCTCCTTTTTTTGGAGGGGGGACCCCTCCGGGCCCCCCAAAAGCCGAGATGAGCTGGGCTCTCCCGGGCAGCGCCGCCGGCTTCGCCCCATTCCCGGGAATCCGGGGCGCCAGGACGGCGCGGGGCCGGTTTTTGGGGCGCCGCCAGCCCCACCCAGGGCCCGTCCCGGCCGCGGACGGCGCCGGGGAAAACCCGAGGAGACGAGGAAGAGAAAAAAAAAAAAAATCGGGACGATTCGCTCAAATTCCAGGGGGGAGAAGCCGCTGCTCGTTGTTCCCATCGCCCCCCAACCCCTCCTTCCTTCCCGGGAGCCGCTCGAGGGGCGCGTTACCCCCCCCAAAAGCCACGTTTTTTGGGGGCGGCCCGGATGGCTCCGCGGCACCATGTGCCGGCCGGCATTCCCGGGATCCCTCGGGAAGCGATTTCCCGGGATCTGCGGGGGACGGTGGGAGCCCAGCGCCAACGCCGGGGGGTCCCTCGGGGGTCGCTCTGTGGATGGTGGGCGCGACCCCGACACCCCCCCGGGGGAAGGCGAGGCCGCAGAGCCCCTCGGGGACCCCCCAGAGCCCCCCGGGGACCCCCCGAAGCTCCGCGGGGCGAGAGGGGAGAGGGTCGGGCAGCGCTCCCCGGGGCCGGGGGGGGCGCGTCCCCCTCCCCACCGCGGGGTCCCGGGAGGGGTCGCGGCACACGGGGGGTCACGGGGAGGGGGTTCCGGGAAAGGGGGGGGGGTCCTCACCGGGCTCTCGCCGTGGGGCCGCACGTCCAGCACCGCGCACCAGCCCTTCAGCCCGTTCATGGCCCCGCCGAGACTGCCCGGGCGCGACCCACCGCCCGCCCGCCTAGAGGGGACACGCCCGCCCGCGGGGGACACGCCCACCCGCGGGGACACGCCCAGGGCCACGCCCAGCACAGGTACCCGCCTGGGAGGTGGCCACGCCCCAGGGTTGGGTCACGCCCACCCCGAGGTGGCCACGCCCGTCGCATCCCCAGGTGACAAAGGCGGGTCCGGGTGCGCCAAAGCCGAGAGGAAACGGTGCCAAAAACCGGGCTGAAACCGCGCCGAAACTGTGCCAAGGCAAAGTCTGGCAACGCCAAAGCTGTGCCCGGCTGTGCCAAAGCTGTGCCGAGCTCTGCCACGTCCTGATCAGCCAAACCCAGCCGTGCCAGAGCCACGTTTAGCCAGGCCCAGACGTGCCAAATTCTTCTCGAGCCGCGTCAAAGCTGTGCCAAAGCCCTGTCCTGCCGTTCCAAAGCTGTGCTGAGCCGTGGCAAAGCCGTGCCAGTGCTGTGCCAGCCATTCCAGAGCCGTGCCAAAGCTGTGCTGAGCCGGGTCAAAGCCGTGCCCGGCTGTGCCAGAGCCGTGCCAAGCCCAACCCAGACATACCAAAGCCACGCTGAGCCACGTCAAAGCTATGCCCAGCCGTGCCAAAGCCGTGCCAAGCTGTGCCAAGCCATGCTCAGAGGCACACCCAGCCATGCCAAAGCTGTGCCAACCCACCCCAAGCCCCTCCACACACACCTCCCCCCGTCCAGCCTCACCAAACCGAGCCGTGGGGGCCGTGGTGATGCCAACGCCGTGCCAAACCGCGCCGAGCCGTGCCAGGGTGCCCCAAACCGTGCCAGGGACCGGCCCCCTGCACCCAGGGGCCGTTTGGCACCGAGGGTCCGACCCAGCGTGCCCACCCGCGGGGTCGGTGGCCACATCCCTGCCCGTGTCCTCCGCCGCGCGGGGGTGACCAGGGAGTGTCACCTCCGTCCCTAATTGCCGCGGGTGGCCCGGGAGTGTCACCTCCGTCCCTAATTGCCGCATTCCCGCGGGATGAGCTCAGCTCGCCCCGGGCTCAGCCCGGGCCGGGGCCACGTTCCAGCCCCGTGCGGTCACCGGGGCCACGCTCCGGAGCCCCGGGGCCGGGACACGCCGGGGACACCCCGGCCCCGGGCCCGGCAGGGTTTGGGAAGCGGGATTCCCTGTGGGATGGAGGATGTGGCTCCTTCAGGGCCGGTAAAGTCAAGAACTTGGCAAACTCCAGCCCTGGGAGGGCTAAAACTGTGCCACCTCCTCCCTGTGGGCACCCCGGAGCCCTCCAGAGCTCTGTGGCACCCACAGGGACACTGAGGCAGGGGGGGACACCATGGGCTGACCTGGAGGGGTTTGGGAAACGGGATTCCCTGTGGGATGGAGGATGTGGCTCCTTCAGGGCTTGTAAAGTCCAGAATTTGGCAAATTCCAGCCCTGGGAGGGCTAAAACTGTGCCACCTCCTCCTGGTGGGCACCCCGGAGCCCCCCAAACCTCTGCAGTGCCCGGGAGGGAAACTGAGGCACAGAGGGGGTCAAGCAGCCACTGGGGACACCGTGGGCTGACCCAGAGGGGTTTGGGCAGCGGGATTGAGGATGGATTCCCTGTGGGATGGAGGATGTGGCTCCCTCACAGTCAGGGCCACGGTGGGAGTTGGCACTGCGGGTACCCCCCTGAGTCCCCCCCGAGCTCTGCAGCCCCCACGGGGGGAAACTGAGGCACGGGGGGACCCCGAGGCAGAGGGTGTGGCCCACAGGTGACCCCGGCCACACGAGCCGAGGGCAGGACCGAGGGCAGGACCGAGGGCAGGACCCGGAGGAGCCGAGGGCAGGACCGGTCGTGCCGGTCCTGCCAGAACCACAACGGGGCCGCTGCGGGCACGGCCCTGGGTGGGGGGGGGACACACGCGGTGACACGGGCAGCGCTGGAGGGGTGGCACCGGTGGCACCGTGCCCTTCCCCATCCCGGGTGGAATAGCACCGGGATTTTGGGAAGGGAAGCTGAGGCAGGTTTGGTGGGGTGGGGTGGGGTGGGGTGTCCCCCCCCACCCCGGGGTTTGGGGACGGTGCCAGCTCGGCCCCGCTCGAGGCCGCGAGGGGAACTGCGGGAAGAACCTGCCAATCAGCCGCTAATTAGCGACTGGCAGGGCTCCCGCGCTCGTTAATTAGCGATAACAAAGGTTTATCTCCAGGCCAGAGGCAGCGGAACACGCGACGTTCCCCCCGCCCCGGGCCCTAAAATGGGAGGGTTTATTTAAGACAGTGCTTGGAGGGGCAAGGAGGGGCTGCATAGAAAAATAACCCGGGGGGGTCCCCAGACACCCCCAAGGGACCCTGAACCCCCCCAGGCCACCGGGGGAAGGCGAGTGGGTCCCTCCCCTGGGGGACACCAGGCGTGGCCCAGCAGGTCCCCCCGGCCCCAAAACACACCCTGAGACCCGTGTGAAGACAAAGAGCTGAGAACATCGTCCAGGGGGGTCCCCAAGGGTTCCCAGAGGGTTCCCAGGGGGTTCCCAGGAGGTCCCCAGGAGTTTCCCAGGAGGTCCCCAGGAGGTTCCCAAGAGGTTCCCAAGAGGTCCCCAGGAGGTTCCCAGAGGGTTCCCAGGGGGTTCCCAGGAGGTTCCCACCCCTCCTTCCTTCATGTCCTCGGAAGAGTTTTTTTCCCTCGAGCAGCAGCAGCAGCAGCATCCAAAGGGGGAACTGGCCCCACTCGGGTGTGTCAGCAGGAGCTGGTCTGGAGGTTGGGCTCGTTGAGCAGGGAGGCGATGGAGGACGGGCCGTAGGCGCTGTCGAACTCCTCGTCCGAGCTCAGCTGCTCGTCCTGCAGCGACGAGTCGGCGGCGGCCGCGCGCGCGGCTTTGCGCCTGGGGGACACGGGAAACCCTTGTCACGGATCCAGGACCCCCTGCCGTGGATCCAGGACCCCCCTGGACCCCCAGGATTCCCTACCAGGCCTCCTTCTCCAGCGCCTTGACGCGGTTCTGCAGCTGCTCGTTGAGCTCGTGCTGCTCCTCCAGCTCCCGCTGCGCCTTCTTCCGCGCGCCCTCCAAGCGCTCGATCTCCTCCTCCGCCTCGTCCACCTGCCGCTTCAGGGCCTTCACCCTCAAGCTCAGCTGTGAATCCCGTGGGATTAGGGCCGGGAAGGGTCCCCCAGAGCCCCCCCCGGACGCCCCCGAAGGTCCCGTCCCCACCCAACCTGGTCCTTCTGGTTGCTGACGTTCTGCCGCTCGTCGTCGATCTGGATGGTGAGTTCCTTCACCTTCCTCTCCAGCTTGCGGTTGGAGGAGAGCAGGACGTTCTTCTCCCTGGGGAAGAGCCGCAGAGGGAATATTTGGCCCCCCCACCCAGGCAGGGAAGGCACCCCTAAAAGCTGGGAATATTCGTGGTACCTCTCCTCGGCCTGCAGCTGGTCCTGCAGCTCCTCCAGCCGCGCTTCCAGCTGGGACACGTTGCTGCTGGGCCGGTGCTGCCCCTCGGAACTGGCCAGGCGGTTCTTCAGCTCCTTGTTCTGCAAAATCCACCCCCAAAATTATATCCCTGTCACCCCCCACACTTCTGCAAAATCCCCTCCCCAAAATTTTATCCCTGTCACC